TTGATTACCAGTGAATTGATTTGCAAAGTAAGTACCTAGTCTTTAAATCTTTAAAATATCACATAACAGTTGGTGACAAAATTTCTTTGGTAAACAGGAGTATTCAAACTCCTCGCCTATGGTATAGTAAACTATTCTTTTGTCTGTATAAAATAATAATCTTAGTTTTATGTAACGGATTTTAATGCGAAAGGTCGTTGTTATAAGGACCATACAAGGCGGCTTCAAAATTGGTATTAACAGAAACATATAATACAATATCTCTGGTATAAGTCACGTCTTTGCTAAGGCTAAAAAAATATGCACATTTTCTTTTCTCTTTCCACTTAACCAAAAGTGTCTCGACTCTATAACAATATACGTATCTAAAACTTAAAAATGTGTTATGGAAGTCATGAAGACTAAAGATATATCATACAAGTAGGGAGACAGGAAACACCCTTGTGCATAGTACCAAGGGTTTAAGAGTAAAGTCAGTTATAAACTTATTTATCATGGTTAAAAAAAATCATCGGTTTTCATGCTCTTCGACTTAGTATCAGAATTGGCCTTCAAACTGTTTTGATTCGAGCGTCACCGTGGTAAGTCTTATGTAGACGAAACGCCCGTCTAGCGTACATAAACAGAAGAACTATAGTACTTTCGACATCTTTTATGTTAAAGCGTGAATCAGACCTTCTGAGCTGATATGTCAAACATCAGATATGGAAGATATAGGACCACGTTCTTCTGTCGACTTCTTCCATATAAATCAAAATCAAATCAAATCAAATATTTATTATCCCAATCATGGTCCCACAGGGGGCATTTACAATTAACAATTATGATAGTATAAGCAACAAACATGAGACATTGTACAGTATATAACGTGACAGATATTATAATAGACAATGAAAATAGCATTAATAACAAAAAATACATTAAAAGTACTCTTGAGTATTTTTTTTTTCCTTCCTTCCTTATGTCCAGCAGTGTATATTAACTTTATGTACTTATAAAAGAAATAGATATATGGAAGTGTGTTTATCAGATTTATATCACATTAAGGAGCAATCTAAATAAAATATAGAACTATGATTTCGTTATACTATATTTTAATTAGATTGATTAAGGAGATGTGGTGTGGTTGCCAATAAGAAATCTATTCAAAGCACCAGAGACCCAATGACGTGGATGTTAAAAGCATCTATAGGTCATCGGACGACGCCCTTCAACAATGAGCAAAACCATTACCGTATAATTAGCTATGAAAAGGCTCCGACATGCCATTATGTCAAGCATTCAGACGAATAATACTTTGTATGGTCTTGCTTTTAGATTTCTATTTATAGACATTAAAGTCTTTTCTTATACCGTGACAACATGCTAAAAAACGAGATGAAATAACACTTATATAGTTATATGTGTGTGTCAGAAAACTTGAGTCTCCACTTTCTTAGCCATTACATGGTTTATTGTCCTATTTTGTAAATACCAACTCGTCATAATATGACAAGAATGATTGCTACTGCTGTAAAAACTATGTAGGGAGTGTTTTTATTACTATATTTATTGTAGTTGTCAATCTAGTTGCGTATTAAGACAAGTAGACAGCGACTGAGCTGGTTCACATTTTGGACCGTTGCACGATGCGGACGGTACCATGCACTATTCTAGCAATAGTGCTTTTCGCTGCACTAAGTGCAGCCCAGATGGGTGAATTTCAAGGTGAGTTGTATTTAACGTGTTCTAATCTGTAAACTGAAGCTTGTTTATTTGTATTCTGAAAACGGTAAAAATTTGATAAAATTCGTAGAAACTGCGGGATTGGAAAATTGTTTTCTGTCTCCGAATCTGACTTCTTATAAAAAGCTTTTTTTTTCTTTTTTTTTTGTTTGTTTTGTTATCTCGACAGTAACTCCAGTCTACAACAGAAGGTAATAATAGTGCGGATATTGTTATTAATTAATCCAGGTACTTTTTGCTAATTGTTTTTTGATAAATTACAATTCATCTTTTTTCTTTTTAGTGGAAACATACGTATTTTTTAAATGTGAAACCAGTTTTCTTTCTAAAGTTAACTATTAACGAAATAGTAAAACACATAACTAAAGAGTTTATTAATTATTAACTCTTTTTGAGACTTTTGGGTATAAATGAAATAAAAACACAAACTGAGAATTTTGTCATTGTCTTTTGAGTAAAATTTAGATTTTCACTTTTTATTCAAAAATAAGCGCACGAGACCTGACGCGCGATCGGACCAAACACTCTTGAAAGAAAGTTATGAGGGTTTGATACCTTAAATAGGGGAATATCTTCAGTATCATTTCCGCCGGATAATTTAACGTAATTAACAAAAACACAGATGAATGGAGAGAGTTTTCACCCATTTAGTTGCATCTTCTGGGTCCAAACTGTTGAAAATGATTTCTTCCGACACTCTGCGTTTAGAATACACGCAGATCCTTCATAAATACGTTGGTGTAAATAAAATAGCCATCTGGAGTCCGCCTCCGGGTGCGGGATTTTCTCGTTGTGTTGAAGACCCATTGGTGGCCTTCGGCTGTTTTTATTTTTACTCTTTGGTCGGGTTGTTGTCTCTTTGACACATTCCCCATTTCCATTCTCAATTTTATTCATCGGATTATTTAAGATTTCAGTTTTAGGCTTTTCATATGTATGAATACTAATCATGAAATAAAAAGGAAGAGATTGTCATAAACAAACTATTCAGAAATTCAACTTCTGTCTTCGTAAATTACGTTGCGCATGATTTTTAGAAGGGGGCGATATGCAATAAACATGACGGAAGAACTTCCGACGAGCGTAGCAAGCCAATTTGTTGTTGTTGACAATTTTGTGCTACAAAATGATATATTTTCCAATAAAAGGGGACGTACGCGCTCTACGCCCCCTGAATATGTCGAAATGATAAAAGAATCGTTTTGTTTCGTACTGACTAAGAATCATGGCCGTCAAAGTGACGTTAAACTCCAAACAATTAAATCAATCAACCTATCTTTTTGTCAGCGACCCTTGATGAAGACCTTCAAGCGGTTAAACATTGGGTCTCTATTTTCTGTAATAATGAGCTTGTATTTACTTTTTATCTTTAAGTCATGTTAATTGTATTGTTTTTATATTTGGTGGCTAAACTGTTGACAAAGTCTTTATTTTTGTATTTTACTCTTGTAACCAACTCGCAATATTTATGTTGATATATAATATATATATAATACTTTTTACCTTTTATTCTTTTTTTATCCACTATAAATGACCATATGTTTTGGCCCCTGGGCACTAATAAATGTAAAGTTTATTCTTCCGTCTTTGACAGTTTTATGCTGTAATATTATTTTTATGCTTACCATGTATACGATATGATGTGTATCTACAGTGACGAAATGGCAATTAAAAGAAAAAAAATCAGGATATATTCATCTATACTAAGCTCATAGAAGTTCAAAGATATTTTGACAATTATAGCATTAACAAAAAAGGAAAACGAATTCTTTTCCTTCTTAGATATTAGAAACTTTAATCAAATTGTTTCTTGCCAGATAATATTTAATATCATATAGTTGATGTCTATAATTATGATGGGGATGGAACGCTATTTGAATGTGGGATGTAGGGGATACACATGTGGGGATGTGAGATTAAACGATTTTAACATTAGTGTGAGATACAGAGGATAAAACGAGGGATGTAAGATAAAAGGGGCGAAAAATGGGAAACAGTAAGACATAGGGAGTAACAAATTAGGAAATAAAAAAAACACAAAATATTAAAGCGAGATTTGGGAAATGAGCACTCCGTGTCAACCCCTCAATCATTGTTTACATGAACCCAATTTTACACTGCAACAGCACAGCTTCTGTTGTTGTTATTTAGTAATTTACTAAATATAGTTGAAAAGTAATATTTCGTGCAATTTCGATTTCATGGCACGTATTTTATCTTTAAAATCTAGGAATCGTTTAGGAATAGAAATAATTTGTATACTTGTTTTAACCTTTTGATTACTATAATTTTGGTTATTTTTAGCTGGAATATTGACAAACAATATAAGATTATTGTTAAAAAAATTCGGTCACTTTAAGTACGCATTCATATTAATTGTTACAATGGGTTCCAAAACGGTATGATATTGCTCTTTGTACGCGATATTTGATGAAAAAATGAGTTTCTAATGATGGATTTATGACAGTTTTACTACCTCTTCCTGCACTTTCTTATACTCCACAAGGATGACTGGGGAATAGAAATATGGTCACTTTGGTCTACTTCCGACCGACAGAAAACACAAGTGGGGTTTCTGTTTGGCTGTGCGGGATGTACAAGTATGCAACCAAGTTCAGTTAAATCCGATGCATCGAGGTCAAGAAATAAAGTGCCACGCTCTCTGCATGTTAAACTCTTACAACAACTCTTTGAGGAGTCCATAGGTGACACGTTGTAAGGCAAAATGTCTGTCCCTATCAAAAATACCCTCATTTTCCAATGGCAGTCCAAATTTCCTCGACCTTTATCCCGTACGGCTTCTATTACAGGACCTACCTCTTGCATTTAATGCTGATTTGTTCTCGTCCTGAACATGCATGAAATATTTGCAACTGGGCGTAAAGCAACCACAATTCGATCATCAATCAACCATTTCCTCATATATTTTGTACTTTGTTTGTAGACATGATGAGAGGATGCGTTGCCGAACGTGGTTTCTGCATTGATGTAAACAGAGTAGCAGCCCAGGGTACTCCGGCGGGAGAAGCCGCCGAGGCAGCCGAGGCAGCAGCAGGAGCAGCACCAACACGACCTCCACCAGCAGCTGCACCACGTGGTAGAAGACGTGGGCCTAACCCTCTAGGGAGAGCACATCCAAGACAACCACCACAACTGGACTTATGGGGGCAAATGAACGTACTAAATACCCACTGTGCAAGCTATGAATTCGAACCAGCATGCATGAGAACGGGTGGCTATTGTTGCTATCCACACCCGTAAACGATTCTGTAAGTAATTAAGTACTAATACATATTACTAAGTTCACTGTGCAAGCTATGAATCCGAACCTGCACGCATGAGGACGGGTGGCTATTGTTGCTATCCACACCGGTAAACGATTCTGTAAGTAATCTACTACTGATACATGTTACAAAGTTCACTGTGCAAGCTATGACTTCGAACCTGCACGCATGAGTACGGGTGACTATTGTTGCTATCCACACCCGTAAACGATTCTGTAAGTAATTAACTACTATAAAAATAAGAAGATGTGGTATAATTGCCAATGAGACATTTCTCCACCAGAGACCAAATGACATAGACGCTATTAACTATAAGTCAGCGTATGACCTTCAACAATGAGCAATACTACTAGTACATGCTAGTAAATTCTTTGTGTAAGTAATCTACTACTAAAAAAACTTTACCATTTTCTGCTTTATAAGTGAAGTTAAATGTATTTGAGGAAAATAGCGCTATCTGTGATATATCTGCAAATATTAACTTTATTTTAAAAAGACCCTGTGGACATACAGATGATATAATAAAAAGATAGAATGACCCAAAAGAGATAGCAATAATGATAACAAACTTGATTTGACATGATCAATGAGATCAGTTAAGTAGTCCTTGGTAGGATGTTAATGCATGTATACATAGAATATATTTGTTTCTTAATCAATTTAGTTAGTTTGCAAAAAAAAAACAAACATTAAAGCATACAATTAACCGTCAATGCTGTAACTATTTCATGGAAACGCTAATATAGAATACTTATATGATCTTTATTTTCCTTGTGGTCAACTCGGTTTGTAAAAACAATTGAAAGCATACATCTAACCGCCAATGTCGTAAAGCATTCTTGTAAATGATGTTCCAATTTTCCATTGAGGACGAAAAACAATTAAAGAGTACTATTATAACCGCTTTTCCCCTTGTAGTCAGGTCTGAGACCTTCACAATAATATCCACAGCAGACTCTTCATTATAAATTTGACCGACAACACGGTCACATTTTGTATGAAATTTTCAAACGGACACTGATACAATACAACCAAAACGCTGTGATACTAGCCCTAACCAATAAAGTTCAATCACACAGCAATGTTTAGGTCTTATATCGAATGTTGCGTTAAAAAATCGGTGATTGTATCATAATCTCAGGATTAAATCATATTAACACGGATAAAATTAGTGATATGCATCTTCTATACTGATCAGAAATGATTATATTCCTTGTACCTATTTCTATTACAGGATTTATAGACGACAAACAGCCATAACTTATTAGCAGCAACTAAAATGTGTTTGTATTGGTACAAGGGATTATCATCATGTATTGTTTTATAATCATCAACTTTTGTTTTTTATAAATAAAATATGAAAAACGTCAGTGGTCGATTTTCATTTTAGGGATATTTAGAATACCTCTGAATATACACCACATGCGTAAAAATCCTTATCATTTTCTGTACAGCCAGAAGCCATGGTGTTATATGGACTGAGCTCTGAAGTCCCACGACCCGAGCAAGTCCTGCAATAGGCGATCAGACCAATCTCGGAGGAATTCATTTTCAAGTTGAACTAAATCATCAATAGATATAGTTTCAACAAAGAACATCAATACTGTCTTAAACAATAAAAATGTTGCATTTACCTATAAACGAATCTAAAGAGTACACGTAAATCTGACATCATGGTGGAGGACCCGACTATTGCGATATGAATAAAAGAGAAATGCAATATACTTTAATGACTTGTCGTCCAATGTCGAAATGTTTTCGAATTATGAATTTTGCGGTTATTTGTGTCGTTTATTAAGTGTTATCCTTGACCGTCGTTCCGTCCGCCCTTCTCTCTGTCCGTCCGTGCCATTTTCCTTTCCGCACTCTAACTTTAGTTTTCCTCCTCCAAATTTTATGAAACTCATACACAATGCTTAGAACTAAACTTAGCAGACAGAGTTCGAATTTGGGCAGTGAGTCACTTACCGTTCTAGAGTTATGCCCCTTTTTAACTTTTAAAAATTACAAAGCTTGAGCGGGAGCATTCGTGTCCTCAGACACATTCTTCTTTTATTTTATTTTGTGCAGTCTGATTGACGTATATCCAACATAAATGAAAGTTGATGTGGTGTACTGTTATGTAACTAATGGTAAGAGTTATCTTATTGAACCTTCATCTCTTTCAATTTACGGGGGGTTCGTTGGCTGAGTGGTCTAATTCTCTCATATTTTGTAATCATTAGCATGTCACTACCGAGGTTGTCAATTTGGCACCCTATTTCGGAAAGGTGCGTTCGGCAATATAATAGCCAGCTGTCCTACCGAAGGTCGATGGTTCTCCCCGAGTACTCCGCCTAACTCAACTAAAAAAAACTGAACGCCTATCTCATGATTTAGCCAAGTGTGCTGGAAGTGGAGTTAAAAACACCAAATTATCAATCAATCAATACAATTGAAGAAGAATTTACAAATTTAAGATATATATCATTCATTTATTTTTTTAAACATCGCTTCAACAATTTAAAAAGAAAAGTTCATAATCTTGTCATTGCCGCATATTCTTTTCACAGATGTCACTATATTATTTTCCTGAAACGAAAAGTAAAATAAAACTTCTTTTTTGTGTAATACTAGAGAGGATACTTAAACAATTAAATACACATAAAAACTTACACTTAAATGCAATTATAAGTGCCAATTAGGGATCGGTTGAAGGAAACATTCTTTGTGTTGCATCATGTTATGTATCTTTAAGTTAGCCCAAAATAAGAGTGTTTATAAAGTATGTTTTTTTATTTGCGTTATATACATTAACATTGGTAAACGAACAAAATAATAATGTGACATTCCTTTAAACAATTAAATTAAATTTCCAGTACTAACTTTGAATTACAGGATAGCAAAATAGTATACATGCATTAGTAAAATTATCATGCAACAAAACCATATCGTAATTATCAAGACTCTTGCGTGGCTAACTCGTATTTTAGATTTTCCAGCATAGTTCAAATGAGTATCGACAGACCCGCGGGAAAAAATAAGCATGCGATCAAAAGGTTGTTTGTTTGTATGATACAGTCTTTTCATAAAGTACCATTATAATTTCGAAACCCTGCTCGGTGCGTTCGACTCTGATATCAATTGACTAGGATTACTAGTTTGCCTTCTGAAGATTTGTTCTCTCTGGGTACACCGGCTTCCTCCAGCAGTAAAAATTGCCCGTCATGATATAGTCAAGAGTGTTGAAAGTGGCGTCTAACACCGACAATCAACCAATCAATCAATCGATAAATTGCAATAATTGGGATGTGTTAGTTAGTTCAAACAATCGAAGAAACTTAGTTACCGAAATATCTCTCCAACATTTGAACATCTCCTATTATGACATTCAGGAACTCGGCATCTTCCTTCTTATATTCATTAAATTCGCCTATCACTGTATCTATGAAAGAAGTAATGTATGAACAGTTATTATAATATAAGAAACGACGCTTTTAACTCTGTTCAGTTTTTAAGTCTCATTTTTTATGTATATAAACATAATACATTCAATATTATTAAGACGACAAATATGCACTTTCTCAGTCTTTTTCTCACCGTTTTACATATATAATGTACATGTACTTCATATTTCTGACTTTAATATGTGCGGTATTAATTTAGCTCCTTATTTTATGCCGTACAGTGACATATACACATGGAGTTGCTTATATTCACGTCATCCGGTCTCTGGTGGATAGTTGTCTCATTAGCAATCAAACCACATCTCCCTATTTTGTCATATATGTATCGTTCCATATTGCAATCTAAAGCAATTGCAAAATGATTTTTAAAACGTACATTTGTTTTGGAGAGATTGAAAGAGAACCTCTTTTGTAGGGCGCTTGTTTTTTTTTCTTTTTTAAATTTTCTTTGTCAGTTTTTAATATGAAATTGTTTTTTCGATGCTTGCCCCTTGTTTTGTGTCAATTTAAACATAAGAAGATTTGGTATGATTGCCAACGAGACATTCTTTTCCAGAGACCACATGACTTAGAAGGTTAGCAACTGTACGGTCTTCAACAATGAGCCATCCTGCATAGGAAGCTCTAAAATGTCCCGAAATGACAAATGTAAAACAATTCAAATGAGAAAAACCTACGGCCTTATTTATGTAATTAATGTACAAAACAATTAACGAAAAACAAATATGATATACATAATTATGTCCTTTAAGTAAGATTTTTTTTCTGTTAACCATGCAGGTTAGATTAACTATTCTTGTCTCCAGTCGGAGAGAACCTTTTTATTGTTAACTTGTTTATATATTTTTTTCTCTTCCACTTTAAAGAATACGTTGTGAAAAAAAAACAGATATATATTTTGTATTCTGAAAGATTTAATCACTACTTCGAGAATATAAAGCTTTGAATAAGGTAAATGGATTGTGTCCGTTATTGAAAACCACATGTAGATCTCTCTAAACGTCTCTATTTCTTGTGAGTTGTTGGGTTGATGTCTCAATGACGTATACCAACATTCTTCATACGGCATAGAACTTAACAATACCACAGTAACGTCGGCTTTGCCCGAAAAGTGGGAGGGGACAATCACTAAAAGTGACAAGTAAAACGTGATTAAAAATAAATGGAGAATGTGTCTATGGGCCACAAATGCCCCCGCTTGTAAATATGCATGACTCAACTTCCACATACAGATGCAGGATTCACGTAGTTAAGACCGTTTTGTGATTATAAGCATTGTGTATAAGTTTCATAACATTTGGTTGAGGCAAACTAAAGTTAGAGAACGGAAACGACAGATTTAGCAATTTTTCCATTTATAAAGGGGCATAACCAAAGAACGGTTAAAGTGACGCCACCCAATTTCAAACTTGATCTGTGTTTTGTAGTAATTAGCATTGTGTATAAGTTTCATAACATTTGGTTGAGGCAAACTAAAGTTAGAGAACGGAAACGAAAAATTCAGCAATTTTTTATGTTTATAAAGGGCATAAACGGTAAAAGTGACGCCACCCAATTTTGAACTTGATCTGTGTTTTGTGGTAATAAGCATTGTCTATATAAGTTTTATACCATTTGGTTGAGGCAAACTAAAGTTAGAGAACGGAAACCAATTATGGGGACGTACGGACGGGACGGACAAGGGTAACACTTAATGCCCCCTCCGCTACGTAGCGGGGTATTAAAATGTCTAGTCTCACAGTCAGTGTTCTCTTTTATCTACATTTGTATTTGTCATTTTTTGTTGTTGCAAAAAGTGGGGGGGGGCATAGTTTTGCTCACCTTGCCCCCTCCTCCGGCTCCTACACCAGAGTACTTTACCTTCAATTTCTCTCCATAGTGATCTGAAATGACAGACAGCTGCAAAGAACAATGCACCAATCAAAGCAACCATGGTGGTAGCCCCCAAAGTAAAAGCCCATCCAAGCGAAGTATTCTGAAAAAAAAAGATATTTTAATAATACATCAGCATCAATGGATATTATCAAAAGTTACAGTATGGAACTACCCCAATAATATAACATATTGGGTAGAAGTGGGGATTTTAAATCAGCATTTTAAATCAATACTAATGTATAAATTAGTAAAAGTTACAATAAGTAACTTTCTCATAAAAATCGTGTAGACGTATATGGATTTTAAAACCCACATCCTATTGCTATCGGTTCAGCAGACCATGATAACAGGGATTAAAAACTGAGGTATACTCGATTGCAAAATCCAGTGGTGGATTAAGGGGGGAAATGGGCCCGATCCCCTTATGGAGCTACATAAATAATAAATCCATAGACAATTTACAAGTATCACTCCAAACGTTGGCTACCCCCCCCCCCCCCCCTTTTTATCAAAATCCTGGATCTGAAATCCATTGTATTTCAACAGCATTGGGTATATGAGATAAAACGGAATAAAATCATAAACAATTGTTTTAAATTGCAATCGGGAACACAGATACTATTATCATGTCAATAAAATAATTCAATGCTATTGCTAACCATTACTGTCAATGAATTCCAGTGAGACTTTTAATTCATTAATTGTGATGAAAAGCTTTAATAAATGAAATTGCGATACGCCATATTGTCACAAAGAATATTATGAATTCCAGTGAGACTTTTAATTTATTAATTGTGATGAAAAGCTTTAAAAAATGAAATTGCGATACGTCATATTGTCACAAAGAATATTATGAATTCCAGTGAGACTTTTAATTTATTAATTGTGATGAAAAGCTTTAAAAAATGAAATTGCGATACGTCATATTGTCACAAAGAATATATAACATAATTTCATTACAATACTTCAATGCTATATGGTGAACTCTTACTTCGTAATCAATGAATTCCAGTTATACAGGATCGAATGTATACTAGTTAACAAAAGAAACGATACACAAGTTCGAATGTATACTAGTTAACAAAAGAAACGATACACAAGTTTGAACTCCGATTTATCATAAAATAAAATAAATAGGAAAAACTGTTAAATTATCCAATGAAAAACATTCATTTGCACAGCAAATGCATATGATTAAAAGAATCTGACCAAATTGGAAAGTTAGAAAATACCGTGTTATTGAACACAGGGGTCAAATTTATTTTGCGGAAAAAATGATGACAAAAGTCGGCACTTAATTTCGAAGATGAGAATTAAAGTATTCAAATATCTGCAAAGGCATTCAAAATTTTACACAGACCATGTTTAAGTTTGAAGTTTTAAGTTCTAATTTCGATTTTTGAATTTTTGGGTGAAAATACGATTTTTGAAATAACAAAAATTAAAAAAAATCGCGTATTTGCCTTAAATCAATGGTTTTGATAAGAAAATAACACTCTTTAAATATTAAACCAATTGGGCAATTATTTACCTTAGTAGAGTGTATCCTTTTTTTTTATATGGAAAATACATTGCCTTGTATCGTTTCTTTTGTTGACTAGTATATATTCAGATGCCATGCTAATACAAATGAAAAGAGGAGACTGATAATATAACTCTTTTTTATAACGTTGTGATTATATGCTAATTTATATACACGTAACGCTTTTTTTATTTAGATCACGAAAGCAAAATTTACAACATAGACATAGACATAGACATAGATATAGACATAGACAACATAGACAACATAGACATAGACATAGACATAGACATAGACATAGACATAGACATAGACATAGATATAGACATAGACAACATAGACATAGACATAGGCATAGGCATAGGCATAGGCATAGGCATAGACAACATAGACAACATAGACATAGACATAGACATAGACATAGACAACATAGACATAGACATAGACATAGACAACATAGACAACATAGACAACATAGACATAGACATAGACATAGACATAGACATAGACATAGACATAGACATAGACATTGACATTGACATTGACATTGACATTGACATTGACATAGACATAGACATATTTTATTATTTCCAATTATGGTGCCCTAAAGAGAGCAAAACTTACAATCATACATAACTAAATAAACAGATTTATAAAAAAACTAGAAAAGTGATTTTTTTTATAATTGAATATTGAACAGAATGGAGCAGGAAAAAAACATAACTGCAATTGTGTAACTACAATTACAGTTCAATATATATAATTGTACAACATTATCTAACGTTACTGATACAATGGGATTCAACGCATTCGCTGAATTTTGTGTTACTGAACTTTTTGAATGCATTTGTCCGGTATGACTTTGAAGTATCCAACATGACATGTGGTCTATCGTCCTGTTAATTGCCGTTAGTCTAAAACAGATCCGTACGGAATACATGATTTATAGCTTTCTAGGTAGTATGTGTTTTGTTCATTGTTGAAGGCCGTACGGTGACCTATAGTGGTTAACTTCTACGTCATTTGATATTTGGTGGAGAGTTGTCTCATTATAACAAACATACCACATCCTCTTATTTTTATATTTCGGACAGATTATTTTTTTTATATTTTTTTTTTCGGACAGCGATATTTGTTTTCATTGATTATGAATTGAATAGTATTTTTAATTTTCACCATAAATATGTTTAAACATTATCATTATGCATTAAAATTCAACCGACAATTGCAAAAATTCAATGCATCAATGCAACTCCACAATGGCATGAAGTCTATAGACTGTAAAGCTTACGCAATATTATCTTCCAGATTATTCGCTTACTGTAGAACAATCACCGCCACAAGGGATGTCAACCATACAACGACAGCCATGACGACTGCTGATGATAAGTGTGAAGCTTTATGCAACACTGAAGCATGGTAACAACTCAGCTAAGAAGACAACCTAAAACGCACCCTCCATGATGTCGCGCGGTTGCGGTCGCTGTAATGAGGTCCACGTTACGTCACAGGTACTTTTACAATTTGACTGTTGCATGCACAGTCTCGTCCGTAAAATATTCAGTATGCCTTCGGAATATATAAATATTAACTTGTCAAATAACGGCCGGGTACCAGTCTAAGTCTCGAGACTAAACCTGCCATATGCAAATGTCCCAAAATGACAAACAATAAAGGAAAGTGTGGATGGGCGTTTACAGAATAGAGAATAGTGGGCAAAAAATTAAACAAAAAAATTTAAGTATAGAGAAAATGGACAAAAAATAAGGAATAGAGAATAATGAGGTGTTAAAATATAAGGAATAGAGAATAATGGGCAAAAAGTATAAAGAATAGAGAAAAATTGCCTAAACTGAAAAAAAAGAATACAGAAATGAAGGACCCCCATCCAGACCCTCATATAACAAGCGACAACATCTGGTTTGGAAAAGGCACATGAACCAGTTTGAACACCTGATCTGTATTTTAATTAGATTGGAAAAATATTTTTTTAATTAATGTCAAGTATCATTGTTAAAAGATATAAGAATATGTGGTATGAGTGCCAATGAGACAACTCTCCATCCAAGTCACAATTTGTAAAAGTAAACCATTATAGGTCAAAGTACGGCCTTCAACACGGAGCTTTGGCTCACAACGAACAGCAAGCTATAAAGGGCCCCAAAAATGACTAGTGTAAAACCATTCAAACAGGAAAACCAACGGTCTAATCTATATAACAAGAGTGCACACGCTGAAATGTCTCGCCTTCTTTACTAATCATTGATATTATGTTGATAGTCCTAAATATAAAGCTTTATTACAACTGTCACATAAACTTAACATTAACCAAGTAAACTAAACATTGACATATGAACCATGAAAATGAGGTCAAGGTCAGATGAACCATGCTAGGCAGGCATGTACAGCTAACAATTCTTCCATACAACAAATATAGTTGACCTATTGCTTATAGTTTAAGAAAAACAGACCAAAACACAAAAACTTAACACCGAGCAATGAACCTTGAAAATGAGGTCAAGCTCAAATAAAACCTGTGTGACTGACATATAGATCATAAAATATTTCCATACACCAAATATAGTTGAACTATTGCATATAGTATTAGAAAAAAAGACCAAAACTCAAAAACTTAACTATAACCATTGAACCATGAAAATGAGGTCAAGGTCAGATGACACCTGCGAGCTAGACATGTACACCTTACAATCATTTCATACACCAAATATAGTAGACCTATTGCATACAGTATAAGAAAAACAGACCAAAACACAAAAACTTAACTATAACCACTGAACCATGAAAATGAGGTCAAGGTCAGATGACACCTGCCAGTTGGACATGTACACCTTACAGTCCTTCCATACACCGTATATACTAGACATATTGCTTATAGTATCTGAGATATGGACTTGACCACCAAAACTTAACCTTGTTCACTGATCCATGAAATGAGGTCAAGGTCAAGTGAAAACTGTCTGACGGGCATGAGGACCTTGCAAGGTACGCACATACCAAATATAGTTATCCTATTACTTATAATAAGAGAGAATTTAACATTACAAAAAATCTTAACTTTTTTTTCAAGTAGTCACTGAACCATGAAAATGAGGTCAAGGACATTGGACATGTGACTGACGGAAACTTCGTAACATGAGGCATCCATATACAAAGTATGAAGAATCCAGATCTTCCACCTTCTTAAATATAAAGCTTTTAAGAAGTTAGCTAACGCCGCCGCCGCCGGATCACTATCCCTATGTCGAGCTTTCTGCGACAAAAGTCGCAGGCTCGACAAAAAACGAAAAACACTTATGAACCACATCAACAAACGACAACCACTGAACAACAGGTTCCTGACTTAGGACAGGTGCAAACAAATGCAGTGGGTTTAAACGTTTTAACAGGCGCCAACCATCACCCCATCCTGAAACAATAGTGTAACATCACAACATAGAAAGACACACTATTAAACATGTTTGAGACTTCTTAGTACGATTATGCTTCGGAATTGACATAGATCGACAAAGGAATATGTGAAGGGGTTAGACAAATTTTGACCTCCCCCCCCCCCCCCCCCCCCCCCCCACCTTTCCCCCTTTTAAACCTTTTAAATATCGATAAGTGGACTAAAACATGGTTCATATCAATAGTCATATTTCATCTTTGGTTAATGGGATGCTGAGGCAAACTTTACAAAAGTAGAATAAGTCCGTCTTAATTGATGAATAAAACGGTAATTGATAGCTGAGGGTCTGGATGGGTTTACAAAATAGAGAATAATGTAGGCCAATTCTACAGAAAAATGGTCCAAAAAAATAAATAATAGAGAAAAATAGGCCAAAAAATAAACCGGAATAGAGAATAATAAGGTAACCATGACCAAATATGAAGAAAAGTGAAAAATGAGCAAAATTTTAAAAAATACAGAAATGAAGGAAGCCCCACCCAGACCCTCAAAAACTGCAGTCCAATTTATCATGCCGGCTCGGACCAAAATAAAAAGCTATATGACTATTGCATGGTGATTCAGTATCGACAGTTTATTAGTGTGAACGAAACCTTGTACCAGCGTATTAGTCTCAGACACAAACAAAAACAATTCTGTGATCTCGGGGATGGAGAGCCTGTACTATGTAAGTAACAAGTGGTAGGGATGAGCCAATGGTATAGAGGTCACTTTTCAAGCTTCATTTTATATCATATTACTTAGATTAAATATGTGATAAGGTTGCTGATTATATCATTTATAAGTAGCTGACATGCCTTTAGAAATTTTTAAAGATGCAATTAAAACCAGTCATAAATCTGGGACATATAATATATTGCATCAGATCAGTGGCGGATCCAGGGGGGGGGGGTCCGGGGGTTGGAACCCCCCTTTTTTTGGACGATCAATGCATTTGAATGGGGACATATATTTGGAACCCCCCCCCCCCTTTTTATCCTGGGTTAGGAACCCCCCTTTTATAAATGGCTGGATCCGCCCCTGCAGATGTTTGACAAATTTATTTCAATCACTTGCAATAAACCGCTATTTGTCCTCCATTACTGGACATCACAAAGGTTCCCGTAAAATTTTTGTCCGCCATTACTCGACATCAAAAAGGTTCCCGTAAAATTTTGACGACACAATAGAAAATGTCTGACGACACAAAGGAAAAGTGAGTGTTGTATGACGTCAAAAGTTCAAGTGTCGCAGATTCCCAAACAGCGACAATGTCTATGAAATAGGGTAATATAGCTATAGGTCTTTTTTGTTTGTTTGTCAAAATATAAAAAGATCGGGTATGATTATATATTTACTGAATATTCAAAATATGAATGAAAAGGGGATGTGTCCCCGAAAAAAACCCTCTCCCCAATGACAAAAAAATATATAAAATGAAATGAAAAAAAGATACTTAACATCATGACATGCACATTGGGCCGCATAGACATACTCGAAGGTACGAACACATAAGAACACATACAAACACATAAGACAAAGCAGGGGCGGATCCAGGATTTTAGGTTAGGGGGCGCAAACTTAAATTTTCGACTCGCTCCGCTCGGCGAAAATTTTTTTTTGAGGTAAAATTATCGAAATATTCTTTATTAAGCTGAGAACAACCCAGGCTTTGAAAATTTTAGGGGGCCTTCAACAATGAGTCATAACGCATAGCGTATAGTCGACTATACAAGGCCCCGACATAGAAAAAAGTGAAACAATACAGACATGCATGAATCTTCTAGATTAGCAATTCTTTTTTTTAAATGTACACATCTAATTTATTTGTAATCAGGCTAATGATAAGATCATTTTTACAACACCCCACAAAAAAAAGAAATTTCAGAAATATATAACTCGACCCGCTTTCTGTTCTCCGAAAAAGTTAGAAAGACTCGGAAACAAAATAGACTTGAACAATTGACTGATATTTCCTTCAATTAGGTTACGCAATGGCAACATGTTGCAATCACGTGGGAGATAAATTTCCACTAATTTTCTTTCATTCATAAAATTCCACAGGTGTCGGATTACACTAGTGACGTCATCCCCATCAGCATGAATGAAAAAGGGAAGCTGAGAATTTTAACCGGAAGTTGTAATGAGTAAATAAGAAATTTTTGTAAACAAGTGAAACGTCTTAAGATTTAACTGAAATGTTATTTTATCGTTATCTAACAAATGAAGATGTTTTGAAATGAAGATTTGGTAAGTCATTTAGTAATTTCTATTTTAGAAATCAACCTATGAATCATACACGCACTGCATCAATGCATGGTATCGAATATTGGCAAAGTTCTCAGTGAAATAAAAATATGACTCATCTCTCGACATTTTGTTTGAAGAATGCGTTAATCCTAGAATAGCTTAATGTATAACACATCATTAGTCATTCTCGTGATTACGGATATGTAGATTGTTAGTAAAAAATGTAAGTATTGTAAGTAAGAACATCTAAATCGTGAAGTAAAAAAAATCTTTGTGAAAAAAGGGGGGTGAAATTTATTTTTCATTTTAGGAAGTTGATAAGATTTAAAAAAAAAAAAGGTTGAACTTGGAACAAATTTATTTTGATTTTATGTGTATTAACTTGTCTTGAAATAAGGTTTTTTTAATGTTGTTCTGATTTCCTGTTTTCAAAAATACTTGATGTAAAAATAGCACAGATTTTTTTTTAGATTAATAGTACTTTAGTGTCATTTATTATAATGATTATTGTGTTTCTATTATTAGTTTTTCACACAGGTCAAACCTAAATTGATAGCTTCCTTAACAATTAACCTATTTTAGAAAACAATCGGGTCATGTCATTACTAAGTATAATAGTCCCAATGCAATGTCTCAGGCGAAAAAAAGCCCAACATGACAGCAAGGATTTGTATAGTAATCAATCTTACTATACAAATCCTTGATGACAGTAAAATGGGTTTTCCAAATGATTTTTGGAATTGTTTTTTCTGTGGTTGCAGTACAGTGTACAGAAATTTTATGTTATTTACACGAAAAAGAAATTGAACCAATATTCATATACATGTATGAAAAACTAATAATTTTTTTTTTGGTGTACATGAAAATATAAGATCTTGTATGAAAATACATGTCAATTAAAAAAGATGTGAAGACTACAAGAGAAAATGCAAATTGAAACTCATACCCCCTTTTAATAAAGCAGCACTAATATGGGATATATAGCTAATTCTTGTCTTATACCAAATGGAAAGCTAAATTTACAAACTATTATATATAATCAATAGAAATGACACAGAAATATATAGTTCAGATATAATACAAATGTACTAATGTAGCTGTCTACATGTAGGTAAATATTTGTATTTATAATGGAACAACCGCACCATTTCACTGGGGTAATGTTTTTTTTTCATTCTGAAAATTTATTTCGTACTACAATTTATTAAGAACTTAACTTTAAGTTTAATGGCAGATTTAAGCTCTCAATCAGAATGATATTTTCCTTCTTCTGGATCAAAATATTTATTTTAAATTTAAAAGTTGGGAATTAGAATATTTTTTTTAGAGAAAAACCATAACTCCCCTCACAGTTAAATTCAGGCATTTAAGGTATTAACATAGACTATTGATAAAGGTTTTCATGTCCATTCGGCCCCAAGTTGATTTGTCCCAAGTGGTTCTGGCCCAAGTCTATCCAGCCCACATTAAAAGCTGATCCGTCCCCAATTAAAAAATATTTACAAGGCTTAAAAATTATATATATTTGACTTGTAGTTCATTTTATGAATGATAACAAAGGTGGACAATCTAGATCACATATTCATACATAATTTTCATTAAAGGAGTCATTTATTTGAATTTTTTTTTTTTTAATATTTTAAATATTTATATTAAGATTTAATATATAATTTTTTTAATGTAAAATATGTATATTCAAATCAATTTATCACCCTAATTGAGTCAGTATGAATGATCATGTATTATAAAGCATTTATGTTGATTATGATTTTATTAGAAGTTATCAAAACTGCACTGTGGATGCATGCTAAGTTATACTAAAATATACAATACAGAAGTTAGTACCATCAACAGTTATCAGCAATTTTTCAAATGACTTTGATCTTAACAAGTCTTTCAACTGGTGTAATAATAAACAGTTACGTACACCACAACACAAGCCGATCCCTAAGCTGATGCATACTAACTTTGTTTTTGTTGAAAGTTATATTAAATATAACTCAAATTTAGATATGTGGTTTGATTTTCCAAATGTCATAAATCATTAATACTGTTTACTTAAAATATTTTTCCGATCATCAGCGAAATTTACATGAATTTCGTCATGTGCAAAATTCACTTACCTTGAATGACATACTGTGGATTCATTATTATTTGTTGTATACCAATTTTCGTGGATTTCGTGGGTACAGGTGAACCACGAAATTAAATGTTCAACGAATTACAAATTTTCTAAAGGATTGTATGCAGACTTCGGCAAAACCACGAAATCAAATATCCACGAACATGTAAGTTTTCCTTAATCCACGAAAATTGGTACCCACGAAAATAAATGAATCCACAGTATGTCACAATATTATAAAAACCCTCCTGATTTTTATAGTACCTATTCATTATTTTACTATATATGAGGCTGGATCGACTTGGGAATGGAACAACTAAGGCTGGATGGACTTTGAGCCGGAATGACCTGATGCCTCAATAAACTGACATCTCGAATGAGAGTGAGGTGTATACACCGGCAACACTATGTAATAGTTTACAGTTGCAATAGATGGGCTGAAATAGCAAAATTTGGAAATTGACATGTTTTTTTGGAATTGCAGAATCATTGAAGGGAAGCAACATAGCACAAACTTGATCTATGAGTCATCAGATGCACTAGTAACTTTTCTTCCAAAAAAACAGTACCAGATCCTCAGGAATTTAAAAAAAAAGAAGCTTGGAAAAGTAGATTTTTATAAAATTTAAAAAAAAGTTCAAGGGTTGAAATTTCCTAAAAGTAGGTCAACGTAAACACAATGCAATTTTAATTTGTAAGTCATTATGTACATTTTGTACATGTAATAGACAAATCTGCCAAAACTCTGATCAATTTTAGAATTTCTGCAGGCACAACAAAAAAAAAAAATCCAAACAAATTTTTGAATTCCAAAGGATAACAGACATAAGTATCACTATATAACACTTAGTGGAAAGTGCATAAAATTTATTGTGATGATATTTTGAAGTGAAAGGTCACCCTTAAGAGAGTCAAGGGTTTTATATGCATGTATAAGGCATCAATGTAAAGGATGGGAGGTCCTGGACCTTTTGTAATTGAAAAGTCAAAGAAAAAGAAAAAACAGTTCCCAGACCTGGTAGAACCCATACTAGATTCTTATATTTTTTTAATTTTTCTTACAGTAAGTGCTAATCTGAGAATGAAGAGTAACGACTGGTAGATGCATGTGATGGAAGGTACAGTGATGTAAGTAAACTGCCATTTGTATCTTCAGTGCTAATATGTACAATTCAGAAATTATAACGACATATTGTAGTGCTAACATGTACAAATCACAAACTACTGCTAACTGTTAGATGTACATACAACAACTATAGTGCTACATGTACAAATTACAAACTACTGCTAACTGTTAGATGTACATACAACAACTATAGTGCTACATGTACAAATCACAAACTGTAGTCTTTTCAGAATACTAGTCCTAAGACCAATATTCCAACATTTTCCTTATGTGTCTACCTGTAAACAAAGTTTTGCAAAAACCTCCTAGTCCGAATAGAATTTTACTAGTCTGGGGCATCGGACTAGTTGTTAACGGTGCAGACTTCTAGTAGTGGTATGTAATATTAACATTTAGTGTCCTTTGTTTAAAGTAAAAAGAAAATTAGTTATTACTTATAAACTCTTCAGGGGGCAAACTCAAGATCTCTCTTACATGTCTTAGTCTCAACTAATTATGAATGAATTAAAAGGTGACAAAAAAACAATCTCACATACACAAATACAAAATGCATTAAAAAAGCAATGAAATTAACTGATCAGAGGATTTTTTAACTTTTGACAGACACTTAAATGTGTATTTATTTTTCAGTTAAACAATGGGACATGTACACTCAAAGAAGAAAAGACACAAGTACAACAAAGAACTAGCCGATTATATCAACAGAAATGTGCCAGATTACCATGACAACCAACAAACTGTAGATCCTGTGGACGTTGATCAAATATCTCATTTTAGCGAACCTTTTCTACACAGTTCATCGACCATTCAACAAAACATCACAAAAAAGTGGATGACAATGCCTATTACCCATGATTCTCGAGAAGGATCGCCACTTCTAAAAGCTGCACATATTTCGTACAAGGACATTAAAGTTGATGACCATCCAGCACTTACAAAACTCCAAAATGAACAAAATACCCGTTTGGAAAAAATGGAGGAAAGGATGAACCAAATTCGACTTCATGCAATGCAAGAAGCAGACAGACGCAAATATGCATATTTATTTAGAGCAAAATCACGACAAAGTCCAACCAAAGACTTGATAAAAGTACGAAAATGTCAGACGGACAACTATTTAATGAAAACACGACACAGTCCTACAAATGACCTCTTACTGAAAGCCAAAGATAAAATAATACAAAATTCTAATATCTGTGATGAAAAAGATAATCAAAAACTTCAGTCCAGCATTGATGACAAAGGGGAGGTAATCCCTGTCACTGTTGTGACTGAAACCAAGAAATCCACGACAGGAACCGAGAAGTCCATAAAGCAACAGATTGTACCTGCATTTGATACTATTAATCTAAGTAAGTTATTAAGAATAATGCAAAGGCCTGGATATTTTTTTTTATACAACTTCAAAATTTTAGTCATTTCCAATGATACAGAAACCCAATGAAACCAAACAAAATAGAGTTTAAAATGTTTTTTAAGTTTGGTTGGTTAAAAATGAATAAATCACTATTGATTTAATCAAGGACTAGAAAAAAAAACAGAAAATAAAACATTGACAAAAAAGTTTGGTCCATGAAATCGCAAAATTTAAAGTTTACTAAAAATGAATAACTTTTTGTCAACTATATCATAGCATGCAATGAGAATGAATATATGCGAAAATTAAATTTGGAGAAAACATTCATACACTGAAACCACAGTTAATTTTTTGTCTCTTGATTTCAATGGTCTATGTTATTTTCAAATTCTTCTCACCGTATGAGCTTCCTTTATTAAGGAACACCAAGGAAAAGTCCAAGTAGATTATATATATTTTGTACACAGTAAAACTATTGTCAACCTTTAAAAGGTAAAATACAGTTACTATATGCACTTCTTTATTTAATATAAAATATGATAGTTAGTAAAAAAGAATTAAAAGTATGTTAAGCAAACAACATTCAATCAATCATATTTGCAACATATGATTGACTGTGAAAAAAGTATTAAAACATTTTTGTTTGAATATAATTATTTTCTTTTCTTTTTCAGGTGATCCAAAATCTGTTTTACTCCTGCCATTTTTGTTGCCTATATTTTTATTGTTATTCATGGTTAGAAGTTTTGCACAGTCAGAAAAATGGAAGAAAGATAGATCCAAATAAGACTAAGGGCAGATAATTACAAAACTAAGGGCAGATAATACTGTAAATTCAGAAATTACTAAGTTTTGATTAATGGAAATAATCACAGAAGGATATTCATTGCACATGTTGCAATAAATGAAAATCATTTTCACTATTTTTGATAATGTTCAACTGTGAATTTATTTATTTTGGTGGGTATCAATTTCCATGGACTAGATAAAAACTGTACTTTTGTGGAAACTTGATATTTTAGTTTTGACAAGGTCTACGTGTACATACAAGCCAATAGGGATTTTGAAGTTCTTTTTTACACAGGAATCCATGAAAATTGGTGCCTCACAAAAAATAATGAATCTACAGTATTAATAACACAACATGACGATTTTAAGTCAAATTATGGAATATCAATTGAAGGAAAAAGCACTTATGGATTTCTGAAATTACAGTACTTCATTGACAACAAAAAGCAGGTATTTGGTAAAAAAGGAAAGATGATGGACAGAAATAGGGCAAATTGAATTATAAGAACTACACAGCATCTTGGTAATGTGCAATCAATTTAGATAACAGGTGCTTAAATTTTTCAGTTTTGTGTACAAATTTGTTGTATCTGTTCTACATGGTTTAGTGCTTTATCATAGTAATGCATCAGTTTTCATATACTATTTCTAGGGGGTATTTAACAACCCTGATTTCCTATGAGGGTCTTACACAGTCAGTTCACATAATTTTTCAGATACAATATAATTGTGTACTGCATGACAAAAACAATGCAAACTTGTACAGTGTACTAGTTGGTCCAAAATAAGGTTCAGTTCCCCTGTGTCCTTTCTGTGCACCCACTCTACCGTTATAGTCCTGTCATATACATTATTGTTTTTAGAAGGACAGTCAATACTTTTCAATGGAAAAAAAATTAATTTATCTGCTATTTAGAACCCAAATATACCTTAAAAAACCCAGACAAAATTTTGTTTAAATTTCAAATTTATATAAAACTTAATTAGGTGGCCCTTTAAGGCAAGAAATTGTGCTAATGTGAACTTCATCTTAAACCTGTTCCCCTTTGACCTTTAATCCTAGCTAGGACGCTGCTGTATAATTTATTCAAGATTGGTATTTACACTTTTGTATAATAATGTATGAAGTAATCATTTTTTCATGTGTACTTGTTTTCGCTAATTTCGTGGTGTCTACATGTATGTAAGAACGTTAAACAGTTCCCTAGAAGGTCTAATAAAGCACGTTTAGAAAGTACCATATAAGGTCTTATAATGCATATTAAGAAAGTACACTGTCTAATAAAGCATGTTTAGAAAGTACCCTAGAAGGTCTAACAAAGCATGTTTAGAAAGTACCCTTGAAGGTCTAATGATGCATTTTCAGAAAGTAACCTAGAAGGTTTAATGATTTATCTTATTTTTTTTTTAAAAATGATGAAATTTCTAAAACTAGAACCAAGAAATGGTCTTTTTCTTTAATAAAAATTTGCAAAAATGACCTGCCACATTAAATGACAGTTCATTGATACTGAATAACTGATGAAACATGTTTTTGGATATATGTGATAGGAATTTTGTCAAACATATGTCAATTTGAATTTCCAAAATGTTACTCTTAAACTTGTAGCTCAGTTACTTATTTGTTAAAAAAAACATAAATATGTTCATTTTAATGAAGTATATGTATTGAAAATGCACAGGGGTTCTCAACATGGGATTTTGGGAACAGTTGTGCAGCTGGGATTTAAAAAACACCCCCCATTCATATATTGAATAATTGTGAAATCCATACCTACATTGTATACATATATTTCACAGTGAAATCATAACCCATTCATATATTTATCAGCTCAAATAGTACCTAAATATATCATAATTGGTCAATTACTACCTATTGATACATTTCCTTGGTAAAATTGCACCCCATTGATATATTTGACGTATCAAAAAAGGGACCCATTCCAGCGGCACATATGTATATACCTTCATATAGGAAGAGACCCCCCCCCCCCGTGTTGAAATGTTATATTAAATTCTAAGTCAAATTTAATTTTAAAAAGGATCATTTTCTGTAATCCTGATCTGAATCTGTAATTCTATATCAATACTTAAAATTTGACTTCTAACATGTCTAAAGTTGAATTAAACTGTAAACAGTTGTGGATCCAAGATTTTGAAAAAGAGGGCCCGCCAAGCAATGTTAGGTGAGGGACTAGTAAAAGGTATATATGCAATAACCATATATGTAGCTCCATAAACCCCTACCTAAAGTAAAACGCCTCCCTTAATAAGTAGAATTTTCTTGTTTGTAATTGTTTAGATTGCTACGAACATGTCAGCGTTAGATTTTTTGTCAACTCCAGATTTTATTGTCAACTCCAGATTTTATTGTCAGCTCCAGATTTTATCGTTGGTTCCAGATTTTATTCTGAAATGCAGTAAACAACTTTTGTATTAAAATGTCTTTTAATTGGTTTGTGGCCATCTTATTTATTTTGTATTTAATTTATTGAAAATACACCCATTTAGGTCACAGCAGCATACACATACAAGTAACAATAATTTAATATACAAATTTGGAAAAGCTCTTTCCAAAAGACCAATATTATATATATCCCATGTGTGTATTAAGTTGAAAGATTTTTGCTTGCACTGACTTCAATTCTTTTATAAGGTCATAACAATGAATGAATAATTTTATTATTATAAGAATTGTCACAAAAGTGGGCTTATTTTATGCAATTTTGTATTTTATTGTATTTAAAGACTATATAACTGTACATTTATGTATAGACAGTATGACATGTTATTATGGTCAGAAAGATGTGCAATAGTTTATTTTGGATATACTCAGCATTTTGTGCAATTAATTTTACATTATTGTCTGTTCATACCTCATTTTGTACATTTGTAACTTTTAATTGAGCTGTTATTATATGCACACAGCAACTCATAAGGTTTAAGCTTTTATGTTTCTCATCCACGATCGTCAGCCCACCCATGTCCATTAAAGGTTTACATCATATTTTGTGGTAATGTTGAAACCAATTTATTATATGCTTGTAACAATTGATTGTACTTTTTTGTGTACGTGAAAGAAATGCAAATAGGTTTGGACAAGCTATGAATTTTTTGCCCACTCCCCACGTGTGGATTGATGGATCAAAGCAAAATCTATCTGCTTATACTTGACATTTCAAATAATCCTTCACTTTTAAACTCCCTATGCAATGCTTATGGTATGAATAGACTTTTTTCATATTACCGACTTTTGACCATGGAATATATAATTTTTCCATAGGTTTCAAGTACTCTGGTAGGACATTCTGGTACTCCATCAAGTAAGAGCAAATGATAGAAGTAAAATTGAGCTTACAAATGGTGCAATTTGGGGAAAAAAATATCTGTTTTCCAATTATTATGTTGTGTGAATAGCAAACATAAAACAGTAAATTTTCACCAAAATGCAGTTAATGTAAGCTTGATTTTACTTCTTTCAGTTGCTCTTATTTGACTGAGTACCAGAATGTCCTCTCACAGAGTAGGTAACCTGTTGAAAAATTATAAACTCCAGAGTCAAAAGTCGGTAATATGAAAAATGTCTATTAGCTTTTATGTTACCCATCCATGATCTGCAACCCACCCATGTTCATTGAAGTTTTATATCATGTTTTGTGGTTATGTTGAAACCAATTTCTTATCTACTTGTATCAATTGATTGTACTTTTTTTCTGTACAACAAAAGAAGTGCATATTTACTTCAGGGGATTGGCTTGGTCAAGCTAGAAATGTTGTGCCCACTTAGAATGATGGATCAAGACAGAATCTACCTGCTAATACTTGACATTTCAAATAGTCCTTAACTTTTTAACTCCCTATAAGCTATGTATTACTTATGTAATGAATTAGATATATTCTTTAGAAAGTCACAAGTATTTTTTTTTATTTCACTTTAAAAGATGCAACTAAAATATTGATCTAGCAATATGATATTTTGCCACAATGTTTATATAAATAAGAAGATGTGGTATGAGTGCCAATGAGACAACTCTCCATCCAAGTCACAATGTATAAAAAGTTAACAATTGTAAGTCAAAGAACTGAGACTCATTAAGAATATTTAAGCTGTGCTCGTAATTAGTGCTATTAAAACTTTTGTTCAATTTTCTCCACATGATCTTTTTTAAATATTCATGTCTACAAATGTTGCATTGGAAGGGAGATAATTTCTACAAGTACCTTTGGTTGACAAAAAAATACTTTTAACAAGTTAGTTGAATTTAACATGTTATTTTCCATTTGAAAAGTTAGACAAAAGAAAAAAGAACTGAGAGTCATTAAGAATATTTAAGCTCTGCTTGTAATTAGAAACCTGCTTTCATATGGCGATCTTTACATCAACCCTAGATGATTGAAATCTAGTTTTGAATATTTAGATTTTGTATTTAAGGATATTAATGTATATTGAATTATTTCATTTCATAGGTAAATGTTTTTGGAAAAGAATGTTGTTTTTATCCATCTTTACCAAAATATTTCAAATTACAGTTTTGAGCCACTTTTAAGTATTAATGGTTTGTGTTCATCTTCTAAATTTGCTATAATGTTGTAAAGATCTCAAATACTCACAAGAAGTTATAATACTGAAATTTTAGTGAAAATTTAAATACCTGCAAAATGTAGGAAAATTTAAAGGACTTTTTGAAAATGACAAACCCTGAAAAAGGACCTACCCAATGTATTTCAATGCTTTTCTGTTTCTTTTTGTTTTTTTACCCAAATATTTTGGCTTTTAGCAGGCCATTAATTTTTGAAATGCACAACTGATACATCAGAATTTTTCCCCATCACACAAATTAAATATTTGATATACTTTTTCATGTTCTGACACCTTATAAATGTGTACATCAGATATTGCTTTGTAAATTAGAATCTCATCAACATTTACAATTTGTTTTTCATCAATGTGTACAATGTATTTTCATATGTGTGCTAAAATGTCACAACAAGATAAGTGTGTATAAGATTTTTTTTTCAATTTCTTTTAAGGGGGGTGGGGTGGAGGACCTACACCCATCTCTTTGATCGAAAAAAAAAAGTCATTTTTTGGGCCATATAATCCCCATTTGAAAAGAATTAAAAAAGTATAACAAAAATATAGAACTCCAAGGCAAATTCAAAAAGGGGAAGTCCTAAAAAAATTGACATGTATTTGAAAGAAGAAGCATGATTTATATAAAACTTTTGCAATACATTTATTATGTCTTCATTTATCAGTATCATTTATTAATATGTTTATAAATTATAATATAATAAATGACACTGTCAGAACTTTTATGTAGGTTGTATACTATTGGAAAAAAAATCGAAAGTCACAAATTTCTTTCTTCATAAAATATTATTTATTGTGATGCCATCCATTACATACACTTCATATTGGTTATTCCATTTTTACCAGTACATGGTGGGAGTTATCATAGAGAGGTCAAAATGTCTAGATTGTTCCCATGAGGGTCTGGAGAGGTCTTTATTTCTGTCTTTAATTTTATTAGAAAAGAAAGATCATTTTTCTCTTTTTTTTTTTTCTTTTTTTGCTCATTATTCTGTATTCTTTTATTTTTTGCTCACTTTTTTTTCCTATTCTTTATATTGTTTTGTCCATTATTCTCTATTCTGTAATCCCCCATCCAGACCCTTATGTTTCATACTTCATGATGAAATATTTGAAAAAAAAATGGTAAGGTAACAAATCGTTTTTAACTATAATATATTAAATAGATATTGATTAGAAATCCAAATATTTTTCTTAGAAATTCTCAATAGATTTTAATATGTAATATTAAATTTTACGTAGAAAGAAAATATCTCACTTATTTTGTTCAGGTAGAGTAATTTTTTCTCTATTTTATATCTATTTAGTTATGAAATTTAACAAGTATTTTGTTTTCTTGTTTTGTATTATTCAGAAAACAGCACATTGTAATAAAGTTTTTTATCTCCTTTTTATTTCTTTACTTGTACTTTTAAGTGTATAGTAAACTTTTAAAATGTCATTTATTGCATAACAGGGGTATGTGCATATAGTTTATAATAAAAATCCTATATTTTTAAATCTATTTGGTGTTTTTAGAATTTATTTATATAATTTTGATTGTCCATGAAATATTTGCCACTGGATGTTAAGCAAACAACAATCAATCTATATATAATTTAGATACTACAGTGGCGGATCCAGGGGGGTGTTCAGGGGGTTTGAACCCCTCTTTTTTTGACGATTAATGCTTTTGAATGGGGACATGGTTGGAACCTACCCTTTTAAAAATGGCTGGATCCGCCCCTGTACTATGAGATGTAGATTATTCTGAGTTCATCAATGACACCAAGTCAACAAAACACATCTAGCAGTCAGCATACAGTCTTCAGCAGTAGACAAGTGAGGAGGGGGGCATGGTTTTTTTCTTCAGACAAATTTTGTTTCACTGTAATAAAAACAACCTTAAGATTTCTTCCTCAATAATATACAGGAACAAGAAAATAGTTTTGAAACTCAATATTGTATTTTTTTCTCTGCCCTTCTGACCCCCCCCCCCCCAAAAAAAACAAAAAACAAAACAAAACAAACAAACAAACAAAAAAACACACACACATACACAAAGGATGAATTTTCACTGCCTAAATATAAAATATACATTTGATACATATGAGATGTACCCAACATTCTAAAGCTGCACTACATCAAGCGATTAGAGCTTTTACTGATGTTAATGTTTATGTCAAAAGTATCTGCAAGTCTTTAACATTGAGCTCAATATTTTAAAGAAATAGTTTCCAGCCATGGAAACTGATGGATGTGCCTTTTCCATGCCAGAACCTGACCAGAGGTTTTCTTTTGTTACATCTTTATGTTTTTATACGACCGCAAAAAATTTTGCGATCGTATATTGGTATGACGTTGGCGTCGTAGTCGTCATAGTCGTCCGAAGACACAGTGGTTTTCGCACTCTAACTTTAGTTTAAGTGAATGGATCTTTATGAAATTTTACCATAAGGTTCAATACCACAAAAGGAAGGTTGGGATTGATTTTGGGGGTTATGGTACCAACAGTTAAGGAATTAGGGGCCAAAAAGGGGCCAAAAATAAGCATTTTCTAGTGTATGGATCTCTCTGACATTGTACCACAAGGTTCCATATCACAAAGGGAATGCTGGGATTGATTTTGGGGGTAATTACCTCAAAATTTTAGGAATTGGGGACCAAAAAAGGGGCAAAAATCAAGCATTTTCATATGGACAAATACTTGAGTACAAAACATAATTTAAAGCAGTGTAAGGGAGATAAATCAAATACATCATTTGAATTACTTCCCTTGCACTGCTTTTAAATTATGTATAAAGTAATGGTTAATGAACAATTAAGACAATTTAAAAGAGTAAGGGAGGTAATCCACATACAACGTTTTGATTACTTCCCTTACACTGCTTTTAAATTATGTTTAAAGAAATGCATATTTATAAAGGAAGACCAGTAAAAATATCTGCAAATGTTGAATCTTTTTTTTATTTACAAAAAAATCCATATGAAAGATTTGACACCATATTTTAAATTCTATTATAAAATAGATTAAGTTAGCACTATGGAAAAAAAAGGGGGGGGGGGGGTTAAAAAGAAATTGTGGGGGTCAATTTTTTCTCATTTCAGATTTCAGAAATCAAAAAGAATTATTCTTCAAATATTTTTTTTTTTCAAATTTCAAATATTGAAAAATTTCAAGAAGTATTCTTTAATCGCACAGTATGGCGCATTAGATTTGTAAAATCTTTGACCACATTTATTTATTTGTTATGCCAAATCTGACCGTGTATTTAGATTTTTAATTTTTGGTCCAGTTTTCAAATTGGTCTACATTAAGGTCCAAAATTAAACTTAGTTTGATTTAACAAAAATTGAATATATGGGGTTCTTTGATATGCTGAATCTAAACATGAATTTAGATTTTTGATTTCGGGCCCAGTTTTCAAGTTGGTCTAAATTGGGGTCCAAAATTAAACTTTGTTTGATTTCAACAAAAATTGAATATATGGGGTTCTTTGATATGCTGAATCTAACCATGTATTTAGATTTTTTATTTGTGGGCCCCGCTATCAAATTGGTTCATATTGAGGTCAAAAGGGTCCAAAATTAAACTTTGTTTGATTTCATCAAAAATTGAATTCTTGGGGTTCTTTGATATGCCAAATCTAACCGTGTATTTAGATTTTTAATTTTGGATCCAGTTTTCAAATTGGTCTACATTAAGGTCCAAAGGGTCCAAAATTAAACTTAGTTTGATTTTAACAAAAATTGAATATATGGGGTTCTTTGATATGCTGAATCTAAACATGTATTTAGATTTTTTATTTTGGGCCCAGTTTTCAAGTTGGTCCAAATTGGGGTCCAAAATTAAACTTTGTTTGATTTCAACAAAAATTGAATATATGGGGTTCTTTGATATGCTGAATCTAACCATGTATTTAGATTTTTTATTTGTGGGCCCCACTATCAAATTGGTTCATATTGAGGTCAAAAGGGTCCAAAATTAAACTTTGTTTTATTTCATCAAAAATTGAATTATTTGGGTTCTTTGATATGCCAAATCTAACCGTGTATTTAGATTTTTAATTTTGGGTCCCGTTTTTTAAATTGGTCTACATTAAGGTCCAAAGGGTCCAAAATTAAATTTAGTTTGATTTTGACAAAAATTGAATTCTGTGGTTCTTTGATATCCTGAATCTAAACATGTGTTTAGATTTTTTATTATGGGCCCAGTTTTCAAGTTGGTCCAAGTTGGGGTCCAAAATTAAACTTTGTTTGATTTCAACAAAAATTGAATATATGGGGTTCTTTGATATGCTGAATCTAACCATGTATATTGATTTTTGGGCCCCGTTATCAAATTGGTCCACATTGAGGTCAAAAGGGTCCAAAATTAAACTTAGTTTGATTTTAACAAAAATTGAATATATGGGGTTCTTTGATATGCTGAATCTAAACATGTATTTAGATTTTTTAGTTTGGGCCCAGTTTTCAAGTTGGTCCAAATTGGGGTCCAAAATTAAACTTTGTTTGATTTCAATAAAAATTGAATATATGGGGTTCTTTGATATGCTGAATCTAACCATGTATTTAGATTTTTTATTTGTGGGCCCCACTATCAAATTGGTTCATATTGAGGTCAAAAGGGTCCAAAATTAAACTTTGTTTTATTTCATCAAAAATTGAATTATTTGGGTTCTTTGATATGCCAAATCTAACCGTGTATTTAGATTTTTAATTTTGGGTCCCGTTTTTTAAATTGGTCTACATTAAGGTCCAAAGGGTCCAAAATTAAATTTAGTTTGATTTTGACAAAATTGAATTCTGTGGTTCTTTGATATCCTGAATCTAAACATGTGTTTAGATTTTTTATTATGGGCCCAGTTTTCAAGTTGGTCCAAGTTGGGGTCCAAAATTAAACTTTGTTTGATTTCAACAAAAATTGAATATATGGGGTTCTTTGATATGCTGAATCTAACCATGTATATTGATTTTTGGGCCCCGTTATCAAATTGGTCCACATTGAGGTCAAAAGGGTCCAAAATTAAACTTTGTTTGATTTCATCAAAAATTGAATTCTTTGGATTCTTTGATATGCTGAATCTAACCATGTATTTATATTTTGGATATTGGACCATAATAGGTAAATTAAAAAATTTTAAGTTCTTGGACCACATTCATTCTGTGTCAGAAACCTATGCTGTGTCAAATATTTAATCAGAATCCAAATTCAGAGCTGTATCAAGCTTGAATGTTGTGTCCATACTTGCCCCAACTGTTCAGGGTTCGACCTCTGCGGTCGTATTAAGCTGCGCCCAGCGGAGCATTTTATTGTTATTTAGAGAATTTTGCATGTCAGATTTAAGGTAGTCTCTGTCAAAATTCTCAACTAGATTCTAGGCAATTGTCTATTGTTCAAGACAGTATGTTGACCTCTAGACGCCTTTTAAGTTCTGTTTTTGTATTAATGTATGCCCCTGGTCCACATCTACTTTATATTTGACCACCTCAGTGGTCTAGAGGTAGCGTGCTTGCCCAGGGGCGGATCCAGCCATTTTTAAAAGGGGGAGTTCCCAACCCAGGATAAAGGGGGGTTCCAAGTATATGTCCCCATTCAAATGCATTGATCGTCCAAAAAAAAGAGGGGGTTCCAACTCCCGGAACCCCCCTCTGGATCCGCCACTGCTTGCCTGTAGTGTGTGGAGGTTAATGATTCGATAAAAGCCAGGCCATTTGTACATTTGAACATTTGTAATTGCTGCTTCTTCTTTAAACACAAGACATTGACTTAAGTTGCCTCGTATTCAGAATACTTTATCTAGATAGAACGCCAAGTCTTCCTGCAGACTTGTGAACTAGCATGTTTAAAATAAAATGTGTCGGCGTGCCTGTGTTGGGTATAAAGCAGGTTTTCCTATCGAATTAACATGTTCTTGTCCTGAGTTATACACTTGCCACTGGATGTTCAGTACCAATTCATCTTCATCTTTGTCGTCGTCCTCCTCATTATCATCTGACATCATATTAAAGAACTCTCTTTTAATTGCAAGATCAAGATGGCAGATATTGTCAGCTGGAACAAAATTCCTTGATATTAAATTAGGACATGTGGAATGATTTGAAACAAGACAACTTTCCACCAGAGACAAAATACATGTAACTAGATGGGATAGTATGGCCTTCAACAATGAGATAAAAAAAACATACCACAAACCAAGCTATAAAAGGCCCCGACGTGAAACTTGATACTAGTACTAGTAAGGTGTTAAATAATTTATATGTCTGGTTTCATGTTGAACATTTGCCCGACTGCATTGTCAAAATCGGCTTATAATTTTAATGGCAGACAGCAGGAATCATTAAAAAATTACATACCTCAACAATGTGTTCAAAATACCAACGACACACTTCATTCCAGGAAAAAAGCACTGGTAGGCAAGGAGTCAGATAAATGTGTCCGGACCGGTAGGGTGACATGTCACTCACAGTGGCCGTACATGTAAACTAGCACGTTAAAAATCCATTCGGCGAGTCAGTCTAGTG